TTGTTACGTTATATTATTAATTAAATTGTATTATTTGTTAATTTGCATTATTAATTAAATTATAATATTTTATTTGATTTTTATGTTCAATAATAGTTAAAATAATAAAATAAATATTTGTTAATATGGCGGCATATTAAAAACGTAAAAATACCGGAAAAATTTAATAAAAACTTGTCTTTCTTGTCTGCCGAATTTAATGAAAGAAGTTTCATAGAAAGGTTGCTGCCCAAATATCTATCTATCTATCTATCTATCTATCTATCTATCTATCTAAATATCGGTGACTGCACTCGTCTCAGTAAACCATCGGTTTCTTGATTTGCTAATGGTCAAATAAATTTCGAAGGAAAAAAAGGTTTTAAAAAAAGAAAGAGCTAGGAACGTCTGTCGAAAATAATCGTACAGCATACAGGCCCAAAAGCCCAAAGAAAAAAAAAACCGATACGAGTAAGCAACTAACTAAAAAAGTCTTGGTCTTTTGTTTATCGCCTATGAGTATACAGTTTTCTTTACGTCTTTAGCCAGGTTTCCCTGACGATCCGCTTGCTAGGTTTGTCTGGCTCTCTAGGTTTCACTATCTCTCCTCTCTCTCTCCCATATATATATATATATATATATATATATATATATATATATATATATATATATATTTCTCTCTCTCTCTCTCTCTCTCTCTCTCTCTATATATATATATATATATATATATATATATATATATATATATATATATATATATATATCATTCATTAAAAACGACAGACAAGGTACTATGATTAAGCTTTTTATTTAATTTTTCTTGTGTTCTAACAAGTGTTTTCTTTTCTGGATACAGAGTGTGTAGAAACTATTTAAATTGTATGTAATTCCAAGCGCTTTCGATTATAAGTTTAGCCATTTTTAAGGATGACTTTATTTTTGCGTTTAAATTCGGTGTATGGGTTGTGAGCGTGTTTTTAGAGTTATAGTCATGTTTTAATTTCCGAACACAGTTAGCACATTTTGGCCGTGTTCGTAGTTAATATTATTAAGTGTTGGCGTTTTCTTTATTATTATTAAGACTACCATTATTTTTAATCTTTTTTACAGGTGGGTGAATTTCTTATAATTGTATTTTCTTCTAGTAAGTTTCGGATAGGGATTCTATGCACACTTTGTCGAAAAAAGAAAACACTTCTTCGAACACAAGAAAAATTAAATAGTAAGCTTAATGGTAGTACCTTGTCTGTCGTCTTTAATGAAACATTTATAAAGGAAGCATTGTTGCCTAAATACACAATATATATATATATATATGTGTGTGTGTGTGTGTGTGTGTGTGTGTCAACCTCCCCACGCGGTCAGATGTGGCACAAGGCCGAATTTAATGTGGAATATCCGAGCCCGTAGGCTCGGCCAAATATTACCCGTAGACGCCGTATAAAACGTGGTCGGGTAGCTGTTTCCCGAAACGGGACTCTACGCTTCGACATGGCCTTGTTCAGGGATCCTCTCTGCCCAGAGGCAGAGCGTTTTATCAGCACATCAAGAGACGAATCTCCAACAGCGGAATATCTACCAACCGCCTCACGCGGTCAGATGTGGAGCAAGACCGAATTTAATGTGTGGCAACCGAGCCCGTAGACTCGGCCAAAAATTCCCCGTAGAATCCGTGTAAAACGCGCTCGGGTAGCTATTTCCCGAGACGAGAGACTACAATTCGACTTGGCCTCGTCTGTGGATTCTCTCTGCCCAGAGACAGAGAGTTTGTCCAGCACAGCTGGAGACGAATCTCCGGCAGGATATCTAACGGTCAGACGTGGCACAGGGCCGAATTTACTGTGAAGTATCCGAGCCCGTAGGCTCGGCTAAAAATTCCCCGTAGCTGTAGCTGTTTCCCGAGATGTGACTCCGCCACTCGGAATAGCCTCGTCGGGGATCCTCTCTGCGCGGAAGCAGAGAATTTGTCCAGCACAGCTGGAGACGAATCTCCAACTGCAGACCAACATACAGTGTTTACTACTTTATTTATGCGAATGGGGACATACCAATTATCGTCCGTAGGTATGCTCCAACAAAAGGCATAACAACTCTTTACGGGTCATTTAATGCCGAAATGTAATTTTCTTGAGCGCGTTGATAATTAATCTATTTTATTTTTAAATGTATTGCTGCTAGTTTTTGTTTTCCCCCTAAAAAATGTTTATTGCTCTTAATTTATTTTTATTACGAAAATGTACTTCTGATATTTTTTACTATAATAAAGTATTTTTTAAATATTCCTGTTTTATCTCACTTTGGGGGTCAACTATTTGATCTTAGCTGGGACTCTACCAGGGGATAGCACCCTGGGTCAATGTGGACCTTTGAACAATAGTAATTGACGTGGTTGCACGCTCCTCAAAATTTCCCAATCATAGGTCTTTCTACCGTATGTAATTTTTCTTCATACGCAGGACGGAACGTAGTGTTAGATATAGGTTGAGGAAATACCTTTGGCCTAACTTCTCCTGCATCAGTGTGTGAGGGGAAATCGGAACTAATGATAGCATAAACTGGTGGCTAAAATTAGCAGGAAGCACAGGCGTCATTAGCATTGAATAAATAGGGAGCACAGGTGTCCTGAGCGGAAGGAAATGCGTGCTTGCGTGGAGGCATACCGGAAGAGGCGTGGCCAGACAAAGTTGCGTAGGCGACATACCGGAAGAAGGCATAACCACGTGAGGTTCCGTAGGTGTCCAAATGTTATAAAACCGATCCGATTCTTGATCTGGACAGAGGGGCTGGCTAGAGGTTCACCGAAGATTTGTCTCCGTCAATTCCCGTGTGCGTAATCCTAACCTCCCTGATTCTCCCTCAATCTAACCATTCGCCGCAACTCGAACAATAAACACACAAACACACACACACACACACACACATATATATATATATATGTGTGTGTGTGTGTGATATATACACACACACACACACACACATATATATATATATATATATATATATATATATATATATATATATATATATATATATATATATATATATCAGCCTGTTCATTATCTATCTATCTATCTATCTATCTTATGATGCTCATTATCTGTCTGTCTGTGTATCTATCTATCTATCTATCTATCTATATATATATATATATATATATATATATATATATAATAAAATGATTAAACACTAATATTCCATGGTCATAATTTATTCCATTGGAATCGTAAATACGATCCAATTCATCAGACCTACAAATTCAAAAGGCAAAGAGTAAATATATATATATACATATATATATATATATATATATATATATATATATATATATATATATTCTCACTCAGTCTACCCATTCGCTGCAACTGGAGCATAAACATGTGTCTGTGTGTGTGTGTGTGTGTGTCTGTGTTTGTGTGTGTGTGTGTGTGTGCGCCTTCCATCGCCCTATTTAAGCCCGGCAGCACTATTTTCCAGAACATAGATATCTGAACCGTTACCACCAAAGTAGCAATAAAGTAAAAACTGTTGAAAAGGAGTCATAGGATGTCAAATATTTCATCAACAACATGTTTTAGAACGTTTTTGTCAAGGCTGGAAAGAGCGGATTTGAACAGCTTCGGCCCAGATAAGGCCAGTAATTTTTGCACTGATCTGACTCTTTTGAAATGTTTTTGGACCGGTCTGAGTCTTTTAAAATTACTAAACTTTGATCTTAAACCAAATGCCCGGGAGAGCGTTCTGTTAGAATTACAGTCTAATCTGGGCGAGAAACCCCCAAGGTGCGACACTGACTCTTCACAGGACTCAAGAGACCGAGACTGATGTGCCGATTTATATGGAAATATTTTCTGTCATTTTTAAAAGAAACTTTCATAATATAAATGCAAATACATCATATGAATATGATATGGAAAGATTAGTGGGTTTAATGACATTTCAAATCTTGTTCGATTATTTCAAGCTGAATATAAAGCTCATGGGACAAAAAAGTTAGATATCGGAGCGGTTGATATATATATATATATATATATATATATATATACACACACACACACACATATATATATATATATATATATATATATATATATATATATATATATATCATCAGACAGAAGAATGTCCTCAGATAGTGTACTAATGAACAGAATCAGTTCACATAATATACGTGCATCAGCTTTTTATGTCCGTAGTTTAGAAGTGTTCATTCTGTCCGGATACGGTGAAGCCAAACGATAAACTAGTGATAAAGATTTTAATCGACTCATATATATATATATATATATATATATATATATATATATATATATATATATTATAATTTTTACATAGGGACTAAAACAAAAACAAAGCTGAATCTTAACTGGTAAGAACCAAAATGGTTATATAAAAATTTTGGCTCTCAACAGTCGAGATGCAGGAGCATCGAAACATGAATGCACCTTTGTAGAGAGCCAATTGTTTTTTTTTTCCGTATGTAAAAAATATGATAAACAACTATTGCTATACTCTTGGTATCGAGCCCTCTTTGAATTAATGCTGGGAACGTTAGAATTTATATTATTTTCTTTCTCATTACATTCATATATATATATATATATATATATATATATATATATATATATATATATATATATATTATGAAATGGACAAAGTCCGACAAAAATTTAAAGACATTTTATGTTAATACATTCTTTTTATATATTAAGACATTTTATGCTTATACATTCTTTTTATTTATAGATACAAATATTTAAGTAAATGCTCTGTTTATAATAAACAGTATTAAACAACATTTAAAAACAGAGCATTTACTTAAATATTTGTATCTATAAAAAGAATGTATAAACATAAAATGGCTTAAAATAATTGTCGGACTTTGTCCATTTCATAATGTGTGACGTCATTGTTTACATTTGATACGCCATGAGCAGATATGAATAGACGTGAGAGATTCATGGAAGATGAAGTTTAAATACAGTAAATTCGACCTTGCTAACCGAACGCTCCTCTGTGGACAATCGGTAAAGGCACGTCAAGCTAAATGACGGTTCCGTATAGGATACAGGTTCGAATCCTGTCGGGGAACGAATAATTTCTCGGACATTCAGGCCGGTAAATGTTGTTTAATACTGTTTATTATAAACAGAGCATTTACTTAAATATTTGTATCTATAAATAAAAAGAATGTATAAGCATAAAATGTCTTAATATATATCTATTAAAGACATTTTTTTATGTTTAACGTTGTTAAAAAAAAAATGTCTTTAATAAATAAATTGTCGGACCTTGTCCATTTCTTAACATATATATATATATATATATATATATATATATATGTGTGTGTGTGTGTGTGTGTGTGTGTATGTGTGTGTGTGTTTGTGTGTAAGGGAAAGCAAAGTGGGAGAATGAGAGAGGAAAATCAAATAGATAGATGCAGCATCGAACTTCATATCTTCTGTGTTGCCTAAATCGACAGATGCCTCTTGCCATGCTCCGTCCGTTCGCTTCATTCCCCGCCATCTTGTTTGATTTAATTTGCAAATAACCGACTATTCATCACAGCCAGACACGCGGACTGGGCGTTGTGCGCATGCGTGCACTCTCGGAGAGCAATAGCCGTGAAGTACTTTAGATCAATTAGTATTGTTTTTATCGTCCGTCAATCGGAGTTAATCATTTCATGTTTGGCCTTTTTCCGATTACTTTGTCACACGATATTCGTCTGGTTTTTCCTTTCTTGTTATTGTTTGTCGTTCTCGTTTTATATCGCCATTGTGTCGGCCAGAGCGGCTGCATGAAGTGGTTTCAGTTGCAGCCGTTTGGTTGTTGGTATGAAGTCTGAACAATATACAATTGAAATAAGTTAACTTCTCTTTCCGACATCTTTTTTTTTATTTTTGGGTTATTTATTAAGCATTGTTTCTTTTTGTTCAATTCTTTTTCGTTTATTCTGATTTTGCTTATATCACTTTTTTCTTTCATGTTTCTTCATTTCGATATATTCAGTTATTTACCTGTAATTCACTTTTACAGTCTATTTTTCTTTCGTTTTTCTTTCGTTTTTCTTTCTTTCTTTCTTTTCTTTCTTTTATTCTTGCTTATTTTCTTTCTATTATTTTTTTCGCTACTTTATGATTTTTGTGGTTGTTTCATTCTATTAATAATTCAGACTTCTGTCATCTTCCCTTCTTTTTTTCTTTCTTTTTCCTTTCTTTTTCTTTCTTTTTCTTTCTTTTTTTTCTTTCTTTCTCTGTACTTTGTTTTTACTTTCTTACTCTTCCTCTATATTTTTTCTACTTTTTAATTTCATACTGTTCCTTTGCCAAATATATATTTTTTGTTTTCACCCTTTCTGTTTTCTTTCTTTTTTTTCATTTTTCTATCTTTCTTTCTTTCCGTCTTTCTTTCTTTTTTTCTTCAGTTTTTCTTTCGTTCTTCTTTCTTTTTCTTTCTTTCCTTCTTTCTTTTTTCTTTCTTTTGTTTTTCTTCCTTTATTTTTTCCTTCTTTCGTTTTTCTTTCTTTTTATTCTTTTCTTTCTCTCTTCTTTCTTTCTTTTTCTTTCTTTTTCCACTAGTATATAAAATTTATCCTGTGTTTCTTCCCTTCTTTCTATCTATCCTTTTCTCTACAAAAGATATTCTTTCTTTCTTTTATGCCCTATATTTCAAAAAGCTTTTTTTTTCTTTGTCTAATAAATCCTTTCAGCTTTTGCGTCCTGTCTGTTTTCTTTCTATTTTTTTCCCTTTTTTCTTTCTTTTTCTTTCTTTTTTCTTTCTTTGCTTCTTTCTTTTTCCTTTCTTTCATTTTTCTTTATTTATTTTTTCTTTCTTTCGTTTTTCTTTCTGCCTTTTACTTTCTATGTTCTTTCTTTTTCTCTTACTATATAAAATATATCCTGCGTTTTTCCCTTTTTCTATCTAATCCTTTTCTTTACAAAAGATTTTCTTTCTTTCTTTCTTTTGTTCTTTCTTTCTTTCTTTTTTTTCTTTTGTTCTTTCTTTCTTTTTTTCTTTCCTTCTTTCCTTCTTTCTTCCTTTATCGCAAAAATCTTTTCTTTCATTCATTCTTTCTTTCTTTTTTGGTGGGGGGGGTGTCATTTTTTTCTTTTACTATACTACAAAATGTTACCCTTTCTTTAAAGATAAACTATTGTCTATACAAGAGCTTTACTTTCTTTTTTCTTCTTTCTTTCTTTCTTTCTTTCTTTCTTTCTTTTACAGCATCGCTGTCTCCTGCTAAGCCGACTGTATGTTTCTCTTCTTTTAATACCTTCTTTCTCTTTATTATCTTTTACTTTTCTCTTTCTGTTATTTCTTTCCTTCTTTCTTTCTTTTTTCTTTCATTTATAACATCTATATCTCCCGCTCTACAGATGTAAAAGTTCTGTTCCTTGAATTCATTTTCTGTTACTCATTATTACATATATTCTCTTTCTCTCCCATAATCTTTTTTTTAATCTTTCCTTCTTTCTTTACTACTTTGTTTGTTTGTTTGTTTGTTTGTTTGTTTGTTTGTTTCTTTCTTTCTTTCTTTCTTTCTTTCTTTCTTTCTTTCTTTCTTTTACAGCGTTGCTGTCTCCTGCTCAGTCGACTGTATGTTTCTCTTCCTTTAATTCTAAATCTCTCTCAATCTCTTTATTATTTTTTATATGTCTCTTTCTGTTGTTTCTCTCTTTCTTTGTTTTTTTGCCTTCATTTATAACAGCTATACAGATGCAAAGGCTCTGTTACTTAAATTATGTTTCTGTTTCTCTTTCTTATATCTTTTCTTATATCTTTTCTTTCTCTTTCTTGCGCTTTCTTTTCTTTCTTTCTTTTTTCTTTCTTTCTTTCTTTCTTTCTTTCTTTCTTTCTTCTTGTTTCCTTCCACTTTCTTTTATTGTGTTTTCTTTCTTTATTATCCCCTTCTTCCTTTCTTTCTTATATTTCCTCATTCTTCTTTTTACGTCACTCCTTCTTCTTTTTTCTTTTCATATTTCATCCCTATATAATTTTTACTTCTTTCAATATTCTTATTTTCAATGCTAATTAATTTAGTCCTGTGATCAATATATATATATATATATATATATATATATATATATATATATAATTTTTTATTTCTAATTTATCTCTATTCCTATATTCCTATTACATTCGTTCTTTTTTTTCTTTTTATTTCCCTTCCCACATTATTTTAAATCATTTTACCCATGGTAAGGAAATAAAGTTACAAAGTCAATTCGTTACTGAGTGTGAGAGAATATGAGAAAAAGAAAGAAAGAAAGAAAGAAAGAAAAAGAAAGAAAGAAAAATGATAAAGAGAGAAATAAAATCGCAGAGGAAGGAAGGAAAGAAGGAAGGAAAAAAACAAGCAAGCAAAGAAAGAAAGAAAACAAAAATGAATATTAAAATTACGAATGAAAAGATAAAAAGAAACGAAATTATGAAAGAAAGAAAGAAGGAATAAAAATATACAAAGAGAAATGAAATCAGAAGAAAAAAGAAAGAAGAAAGATAGAAAGTAAAATGATAAAGACATACATGAAATCACGAAAGAAAGAAAGAATGTGAAATGATACAGAGAGAAATGAAATCACGCGAGAAAGAAAGAAAGAAAAATATTAAAAATAGTCAGAAAAATAAAAAGAGATGTGTAATTATGAAAGAAAGAAAAAAAAGAAGAAAAGAAAGAAGTATAATTAAAGACAGAGGGAGCAATTAAAGAAAAGAAATTAAGTAGATAGAAGATAACGATTGGCATACCATTTAAATTTTTGAAGATCAAAGGCAATAAAGCCACTAGGATGCAAGGGGGTTACTGAGTGTTAGAGAATATGAGAAAAACTACTATTAATGAGATCAAAGGAACCTACGAAGACAGCGTGTCCATAAATAATGAACAACTCATTATTTTACTTAGCATTCATTTATCTTATTCGACGAAAGATTCCTCTCTCTCTCTCTCTCTCTCTCTCTCTCTCTCTCTCTCTATATATATATATATATATATATATATATATATATATATATAGATAGATAGATAGATAGATAGATAGATAGATGTTTTAAAAAGTAAAAAATATTTAAAATTATCAGACACACTGGGTTGTATATTAATATTTTTTGTTTTGTTTTGTTGTTTCCATTAGGTTCCCAGACTTATTTCGGCCAGCATGGCCATCATCAGGAGAAAAAAAAATCCCAGCGTGTTAGTAGCAGTGAACTACAGGAGTGAATGACTGTTTCTGAAGAAAGTGACCTTTATTTGTAGTTTTCATTTGATTTTTATCGTTAATTTTGGTCAGTCCTTGCGTTGGTCAAACGGCGTCTTTTAAGTTGTTTTTAAGAAATGGAGGATGGGAGATTCCTGACTTTAAGAATGACCTCCTTGGTCATTTGACAGTTTTATTGGTTGCTGGGAATGCGATGTGTGTATGTTAAGTGTATGTTATCTTTTAGTTCTTTAGGAGTGTGTATGATTTGTGTATGTGTATTTATTAGTATGTGCGCGTGTATAAGTGTGACACCTCAACACCTATGCAAGTGTGTCTGTCTTGTGTGGATGAGAAATGTGGGTAAGGCTTGATTTAAGGGGTTATATATTAATTCTATCTATGTTGTTAAATTTGTGGGTAAGCCCGTCTGGGCGAAATGTTTTATTCAATATAATCCCATTTGACACCAATGAACCTGGTTCAAATATCCTTACGTATTGCAATCCCATCACGGAAGAAAAGTAAAGTTCTGGTCCTCGAAATCCTCCCCCACGGCACATATTGTCTTATTATTGTTTCCAAAATGACGACCACGCAAGTGGGATTTGAGTTTAGAAACGGGAATATATCAGATGGAGCTAAGTCTGATGAGTAAGGTGGATGGGGTCGCAATTCAAAACCAGGGTTGGTTGTTCCTTTTGCTGCAAATTGAGGCGTGTGAACGGGGGCGTGTTATTCTGGAGCAAGAGCACACCTGGCCTCAGCTTCCCTCTACGTTTCGACTTGGTTGACTTCTTCAGTTGTCTTTATTCAGATTCATAGTACTGTCGGCGTTAACTGCTCCTTAATTGTCCAAATTGTTCACTGGGGCACGCTCTCCCTACACTATAAATACTGGGCGACTTATCGCCTCGTTCTCTTTTTCTACTTTGCATTTCAGCGAACACATTTAAAAATGTGATCTCTCCTAGAGATCAGCGCTTTCGTGCACTTGTGGGAAAACGCCATGAAACACACATACACGTACGTACGAACATTCACCAAAATACAAACTCTTTACGCTCACACACAAACACAAATGTTGATGTCTTTGTCACTTATAAATTTGTTGTTTAATACATATATTTGTTGACATATATATATATATATATATATATATATATATATTAATTGATTTAAAATATGTTTTTTTTGCTACACAGTTCTAACCATGTTTCAAAAATGGAAGCTGAAAGCTCCGAATTTAATTTTGTAATTAAATTAAAGACATTAGTTCCATTTCATCCTCAAGCGAATTTTGGAGTAACTTTACGGATGTCAGATTTCATTGAAAAATACATCCCTACCCCCTACCAAAACGTAACTAATAACTGATACATCAAAATACAGCGATAATGAACACGCAAACACCCCTTGTCTGGTTGAATTGGATTTCTCTGTACCCTTGGAAACGTGAATTATGATTTTTGCTGTGTCTTTAAAACCCTGTAATTACTATAAGTTACTCCAAAATTATAATATTAATGCTCTGTAAATTTACATTGAGCACTATTTTGTAAAAATAAAAATATCTATAAAAACACCGGATTATATATCTTACTGTTCTTTTTTTATATATATATATATATATATATATATATATATATATATATATATATATATATATATCGGTCTTGTTTGTTTTCTTTAAATCTTCAGTTGGACTCAACTTGAGTTCGACATGTTCTCGTAGTTAGACCTTCTTCTAGCAGGAATAAACAGCAGGTGTTTCTAATTCAACAACACGTAACCCCCCCAGTCCGCTACACTAATGTCCGTTAATAGCTTTTCCTTTATCATTATCACGCCCTCAAAATCCCATAAAAAAACAAGTCATCACCTTGCAAACAGGGGTGGAGAACCAGTTTGCTTTGAATGTTTGATTTAGGTTCGAATTTTCAGCTTCTGCTCTGGTGTCAGTATTCTTGGGACCCATCTTGGAGACAGCTTGCTCATCTCCAAGACCGAACCAGAACTAATAGACGGAGATATCTGGTGAACAGTAAGACGTTCATCATTCAAAATCATACGGTGAATGATATCAACTTGTTCATCAGTGGTTGAGATTTTTTGAACGACATTACCGAGGTTCATCTTCTGTGCTTAATTCTGCAGCCCACTACTTAACAGTTACATAGGAAGGGGAGTCCTCGGCAAGGGTCTGTCTACTGCTCTGATGAATTTCCTTGGATGTCGTACATTTCTATTGCAGATACTTTATGACTGGTTGCGCCTCTGTTTTACTCATTTTTAGATTTGTTGGAAACCTCTCCCTTTTGTATGGGCCTCACCTAAATAGAAATTAAGACGGAAGTCAGTATTAGAATTGGTCGTGTGTTGCCGCAACAAAACTATTCAACTACGGCTCTTCTTTCTGGGTGAGTCTTAGGGCCATTTGAAGCGTACTTTTTCCCACTAATTCCCAGCCTTTGGGGGAGACGATGGCTTCTCTAACGTATGAGTAGAAACCTTTGAGATTAAAGATTCCTTTTTGTCTCTTGTAAACGTGCCCAAGATTAACCGGACTGACTTACAATCTTCCGCAAATTAATTCAATTATCTATCTATCTATACCTGTTCATAATCTATCTATCTATCTATCTATCTATCTATCTATCTATCTATCTATCTATCTATCTAGCTGTTCATTATCTATCTTTATATCTACCTATCTATCTATGCCTGTTCATAATCTATCTATCTATCTATCTATCTATCTATCTATCTATCTACCCATGTTCATAATATATCTATCTATTTATCTATCTATCTATCTATCCCTGTTCATAATCTATCTATCTATATATCTATCTATACCTGTTAATAATCTATCTATCACAGTCTGTTTCTATCTATCTATCTATCTATCTATCTATCTATCTATCTATCTATCTCAGTCTGTTTCTATCTATCTATCTATCTATCTATCTATCTATCTATCTATCTATCTATCTATCTATCTATCTGTTCATTATCTATCTTTATATCTACCTATCAATCTATGCCTGTTAATAATCTATCTATCTATCTATCTATCTATCTATCTATCTATCTATCTATCTATCTATCTATCTATCTATCTACACCTTTGTGCCAATTAATTTTAATGAAACGATTAATTCCGTTATTATTTACATTTTTTTCCGTATTTTTCAAATGAAACATGACCCAGTGCACATGTTTGTACTTCGTATGTCCATTCCACGAAATCGTTCATTTCAGATTGGCCACAGATTCTCGATTGGATTTAAATCAGGAGAGTTTCCGAGCCAGTCGATAGTACTTTGATTCGCTCACTGGTAAGACTTGCCATTGTGTTTGTGCTGCGTTACTATTTTCGTACGCTTGGAGTAATGTCCATCGAAAAAAATGGCTGTAGGACAACTAATCGACAGTCGAGACAATAGAGTCTGGGTGTAATGAAAATCTGATGCGATCATGGATGACGTAATATTTTTCAAGATCAAAATAATTTCATCATACAACTCGAAAATAGATTCATATTACTGCACACCACTGCAAATGTCCTAATCTGTGGAAAAAAAACAGAAATCGATTCCCCCCCCCCTGTTACCCCACTGGGTCTAAAACTGACCGTATGGTGATAGAAAGGAAACTAAAGCGGTTGTTTCGATTAATTTGCATAAGGGTCTATCTATCTTTCTTAGTCTATTCATATCTATCTATCTATCTATCTACCTATCTATCTATCTATCTATGTCAGTTTCTTCATATCGATTACAGTTCTTTCATAT